TCAGTTTTTGCTTTTCTTCTTATGCTCCACAGATGAGTGAAATCAATTGGTACTTGTCTTTCTCCACCTGGTTTATTTCGCTGAGCATAATATCCTCCAGCTCCATCCATGTTGTTGCAAATTGTAGGATTTGTTTTCATCTTATGGCTGAGTAGTACTCCATTATGTATATGTACCACATCTTCTTTGTCCATTCATCTACTGATGGACACTTGGGTTGTTTCCATATCTAAGCTATTGCAAATAGTGCTGCGATAAACATAGGGGTACATATGTCTTTTTGAATCTGAGAAATCATATTCTTTGGGTAAACTCCTAGGACTGGAATTCCTGGGTCAAATGGTATTTCTATTTTTAGTTTTTTGAGGAACCTCCATATTGCTTTCCACAATGGTTAAATTAGCTTACATTCCCACCAGCAAGGTAGGAGGGTTCCCCTTTCTCCACATCCTCTCCAGCATTTGTTGTTCTAAGTCTTTTCAATACTGTCCATCCTAACTGATATGACGTGATATCTCATTGTGGTTTTTATTTCATTTCCCTGATAATTAGTGATGTGGAGCATCCTTTCATGTGCCTGTTAGCCATCTGAATTTCTTCTTTGGAGAATTGTCTGTTTATATCCTCCACCCATTTTTTAAATTGGGTTATTTGCTTTTTGGGTGTTGAGGCATGTGAGTTCTTTATATATTTTGGATGTTAACCCCTTGTTGGATATGTCATTTACAAATATATTCTCCCATACTGTAGGATGCATTTTTGTTCTGTTGTGGTGTCCTTTGCTGTACAGAAGCTTTTAAGTTTGATGTAGTCCCATATGTTCATTTTTGCTTTTGTTTCCTCTGCTCGAGAAGATGCATTCAGGATGAAGTTGTTAATGTTTATATTCAGGAGATTTTTGCCTATGTTATCTTCTAAGAGTTTTATGGTTTCATGACTTACATTCAGGTCTTTGATCCATTGCAAGTTTAGTTTTGCGTATGGGGATAGACAAAATCCAGTTTCATTCTCTTGCATGTAAATGTCCAGTTTTGCCAATACCAGTTGTTGAAGAGGCTGTCCTTTCCCCATTGTATATCCATGGCTCCTTTATCATATATTAATTGACCATATATACTTGGGTTTATATCTGGGCTCTCTAGTCTGTTCCATTGGTCTATGGGTCTGTTCTTGTGCCAGTACCAAATTGTCTAGCTTACTGTGGCTTTGTATGAGAGCTTGAGGTCAGGGAGTGTAATCCCCCCACCCCCACTTTATTCTTCCTTCTCAAGATTGCTTTGGCTATTCAGGGTCTTTTGTAGTTCCATATAAATTTTAGAATTATTTTCTCTAGTTGGTTGAAGAATGCTGTTGGTATTTTGATAGGGATTGCATTGTATCTGTAGATTGCTTTAGGCAGGATGGCCATTTTGATAATATTAATTCTTCCTATTCATGAGCATATAATGTGTTTTCATTTATTGGTATCTTCTTTAATTTCTCTCATGAGTGTCTTGTAGTTTTTAGGGTATAGGTCTTTCACTTTCTTTGTTAGATTTATTCCTAGGTATTTTATTCTTTTTGATGCAATTGTGAATGGAATTGTTTTCCTGATTTCTCTTTCTGTTAGTTCATCATTAGTGTATAAGAATGCCACAGATTTCTGTGTATTAATTTTGTATCCTGCAACATAGCTGAATTCAGATATTAGATCTAGTAGTTTGGAGTGGATTCTTTAGGGTTTTTTTAATGTACAATATCATGTCATCTGCAAACAGTGACAGTTTAACTTCTTCTTTACCAATCTAGATGCCTTTTATTTTTTTGTGTTGTTTGATTGCCATGGCTAGGACCTCCAGTACTATCTTGAAAAGAAGTGGGGAGAGTGGGTATCCTTGTCTTGTTCCTGATCTTAAAGGAAAAGCTTTCAGCTTCTTGCTGTTAAGTATGATGTTTGCTGTGGGTTTGTCATATATGGCCATAATTACATTGAGGTACTTGCCCTCTATACCCATTATATTGAGATTTTTTATCATGAATGGATGTTGAATTTTGTCAAATGCTCTTTCTTTTCTTTTTTTCTTCCTTTCTCTCTTCCATTTTCTTTCTTTTCTGCAGATTTATTGAGATATAATTTTTATATAGTTTTATATAAGTTTAAGGTATACAATGTAATGATTTCTATATATGTATTGAGAGATTATTTATATGTAGGTATTGAGATTAACACAGTAAGTTTACTTAACATTTATCACCACACATGGTTGTAGACTTTTTGTGTGTGTGTGATGAGAACTTTTAAGATCTACTCTCTTAGTGCAGAGAAAATGAGACTTTCTATGGCCTAGATTCTCACCTGACCCTGGTCAGCTTGCTCATTGCACACATGTTACTGACACTATATAAAGAGCTCTGCCCAGTGCTCTGGGCTGCACAGCTGCAGGAGAGCAGAGGCTGGAGTGGTGGCAGTGCCTGGGGCCCTGAGATGGCTGTGGGGCGCAGAGAGGCCCAGAGGCAGAGACCAGCTTACTGTTGCAGACTCCTCCTGAGGCAGATAGGATTCTAGCGCTGGCTGCCACTGTGGGAATAAAGTTGGGTATAAACCCTTTCACCCCAAGAATGTTCCGTTGTCATTTTTTGGTCTCACCAAATCAAGAGTGAACTTGTCCAGGGCTGAAACCCTCTGGCAAGACACTTAGCAAGTTTCAAATATACAGTATAGTATTGTTAACTACCATCACCATGTTGTACATTACATCCCCAGGACTGATTAGTCTTGGGAAGTATGTACCTTTTGACCCCCTTCATCTAACTTCTCCCCCACTGCCCTCCTCAAATTTTAAAATTTATTCTTGAAACTCCCAGCAGAGATAAGAAGAGTATTGGAGCTTTCACATGAGTCTATGTGGTAAACCATAGGTTTGGCAAGAATGCACAATGATATAAGGTCCTATCATTGTCCTCCCCAACCACCCCTACTCCCCCCCCCACACACCCTTACAGGTTTCGGGCCAAGTTAGAGGAAACAGATCCTGTTTCTATGCAGAGATGAGCTTTCTAACAATCAGTGCTGTTTCGAGAGGCAGAGAGCAGTTGTCGGGACTGTTCTAAGTAAGAGTTATGTGTTCTGTTGAGTCAGTGGAGACCAAACCTGCACGTCCATAAGAATCACATAAGAAGTCCAGGTACCTGGTCCCGGTTCTGCAGGTTCTAAGTGCATAAGTACCAGGAGGAGCATGGTCAGCTGTTTGCTGTTTTATGATGTGCTTTAGATTCTTCAGGCAACTGTGATAACCTTATGAACAAAGTCTGGGACACAGGTGTTGAGGGATTTAGACCAGATCAGTGATTGCCAACCAGGAGTGATTTCTGTCCCCCAAGGAACACTTGATAATATCTGGCATCCATGGGTAGAGGTCAGGGATGTGGCAAACACCCTAGAAGGCACCCGGGAGTTCCCACAACAAAGAATCACTAGGCCCCCAGAGTCCACAGTGCTGAGGTTGGGATAGCCTCGGGCTAGAGAACCATTCTCAGGTCCTTCCTAACCCTGAGATTCTAGAAATCAAACAATTAGCATGCCCCTCTGTGTGTAGAAAACCCACCTTTGGGACTGGGGGTGGAGGGGCTTGTGTTGTTCTAAATCATATATACTTTACCCCATATACTAGAAGTGTGTGCCCACAACATGAGGTTCCTGTCTCTCTCTGGCCTTCACTGATGGCCTCATTATGTCTAAGTTAATTATATCAAAATAATAGGTTTTGCAAATATTACCAGCACAGATTTAGAGCCAGGTAGGAACAGAGCATTAGACAGAGTTAAGAGTTTAAAGTTCCCATCAGATATGAATAAACTGGCATATCCAATTATTTATATTTTAACAGAGCTGGCAAAATTGTCAGAGGGGTGACAGGTACATTCTTGGGGTTTTCCCTTCTCCCCGCTTTCCTCGTGCAACTGGAAGCTTCATGTTATTTCTCCTTTTGCCCTGCAGCAAAATCAGCACTCTGGGAAGGGCCTAAGGAGTGTATGTCCATTAAAGAAGGGATGAAGCTTCCCGGACAGAAAGATTTGTGCCCCTGTCAGGGAGGGGAGAAGTGGCTTCTAACATTTGTTGAATGGCATTGGGGTTAGTAGAATGAGCATGGGCTCTACTCACGTACCACATTCAAGGTTCAAATCCCAGGTCTGCCACTTACTAGTTGTGGGTAGTGAGAAAAGTCACTTAAGCTCTGTGGCACTCAGTATACTCTTTGGAAAATTGAGGATAATAACATCTAGATTGCAATGTTGTGGTAAGGGTTAGAAATATCTGCAATGAGTCTGTTAGGTAATGAGCCCCAAAAGAGCAGAGTTTCTGTCTGTGTCTTTATTCACTTCTTATATCATCACTTAGAATGTTCTCTGACCCAAGCTAGGAGCTCAAAAATATCTGTTGAAGAAACAAATGAACATGGTAGACATTACTGCTGAAAGTTAGCATCTTGCCTATGGGTTTCAGCCCCAGTCAAGTTCACTACATATGCAATGAGACTGAGAGATGACAATGGAACATTCTTGGGGTGAAAGGGTTTATACCCAACTTGGTTCCCAGGGTGGCAGGTCAATCACTAGAATCTCATTCACTCAGACCAGTCTGCATGCAGCAAGCCGGTCTCTGCCTCTAGGCCTCTCTGCCCTGCAGCCATCTCCGTCTCTGTCCTGGGCACTGCCACCACTCCAGTCTCTGCTCTCCTGTAGCCATGCAGCAGCACGGCCATGCCACCATGTGGCCCAGAGCACTGGGAGGAGCTCTTTACACAGTGTCAATAGCAATGTATTGCCCACACGTGTGTAGTGAGCTAGCTAACCAGGGCCAGGTGAGGATCCTGGCCATAGGAACCTTCACTTTATCCACAGTTGTCTCTATGGCAAATGGCCAACAGCATCTCTTCCTTTCACAGGCAAGAATGTGGGGCTGGATGCATGAGCTTGGTGTGCGGTGATCACTAACTTTCTGTTCTTTCTAACCATTCCAGGGCAAAGAAGGAGCCTTCATGGTACGAGATTCCAGGACTCCGGGAACATACACAGTGTCTGTTTTCACCAAGGCTATTGTAAGGTACGGTGTTAACTCAGCTAAACAAAGGGGGCAGTGACAGGCCACCTGCAGCAATGTCAGGCAGTGTAAGAGGTAGGGGGGGTCACTAGAAATGATGTATTTTCCTTGATCCCTCTGAGAAAACCAAGGCCAGGGAGATGAAGTCACTTAGCTGGAAAGTGACAGAGCCAGATGCCAGGTTCCCCTCCCAGTTAGCATCCCTGAGTACAGAGCTCTATGGAAATAAAATACCTGGCCCTGTATCTGGTGAGTTTATAACCTATAGAAAAACAGAAAAGATACTTTCAACTGGAAGTGAGAAGTTATTAATTCTAGTTCTGGCTCTAATACAGCTACCTGCCATTTATGGAGTCCTCACTATGTGCCAGAACTTTACAGGCCGTCCCCGATCCTAGGAGGTCCTGAGGCAGCTTCTATGCTCTCTCCCATAAAAGAAGCCAAGGCTGAAGGAGCTGGCGGCGCCTCCCAGAGGCAACGCAGCTCACGTGGCCAAGCCGCCTTCATGCTCCAGCCTGCTGGCAGCAGGGCTCCCGCTGCTCATCTGCCCCTCTCCGGGACCTCACTTTCCTTCTCTGTGAAATGATGTCTTAGGGCTTCTCTAGGTCTCCAATTCTCTGCTTATTAGAAAATTAGTAAGAACAAAGTAATTTGACAATGACCGAAGTCTAATAAGAATTAGAAGAAGAGAAAAAAATTAATCATCAAGGTGTCCTCAGAGAATACCCCTTGGAGGACAAAGGACATGAGCCAGGCTTGGAGTGCAAGCAGGGTTTAGGCAGGTGGGGAAGAGCAAGGGCCCTGTCCATGGATGGGACGGAAAGCCCCTTGCTCAGCCATGCCGGGGGACAGTGCGGAGAGTGACCTACCTCTCTGTAAAGGATGGTGGAGAAGGAGTGAAAAAGTCTGTGCTGGCGGTCTGCAAGACCACCCCAAGCTGGATGACTCACCCGCAAGATTCACAGGGCTCAGCATATAGTTATACTCAAGGCTGAGATTTATTACAGTGAAAGGATGCAAACAAAGCCAGAGCAGCAAAGGGAAAGGCACGTGGAGCAAAATCCAGGGGAAGCCCAGTGCAAGCTTCCAAGAGGCCTTCCTCACGGGAGTCACACAGTAGGTGCTTGATTCCTCCAGAAACAATTACAACAATGGGGTGACACAAAGGGGTGAAGTGATGTCTCCCAGAGAAGCTTGTGAGGGTCCCAGAGCCCAGGGATTTTGTGAGTCACGTAGGTTGTCACATAGGTCCCCTCTCCCTAGCACAGAGCAAAATTCCCGACTCCTAGAAGAAAAGCAGGTGTTGAGCATAAACTGCACTGTTGGTACAAACAGTTTAGGCCAGGGAGCCATCCTTATCAGTTAGAAAATGATGAGAGGCCTTCTGAAATCCCAATTCACAGATGCCAGCAAAGGCCAGCCTTGCCAGCAGGCCCCCCTAAGGACAGCATTCGGGGCTGTTGTGTTAACCCCCTGGTACACAAAGTCCAGTTAGTACAAAGGGGCCCAAGATGTTTCCTTAACACATGCTGACAATTACTTAAATCCACACGGCAGGGAAGACACACATCTGAGACCATCTCCCGTTCTGTGCTTGTGGAAGAAACGTCCCCAGTTCATCACAGCACTGATTCTAACAGGGTCCAGAGGCAGCCTCAGAGTCCTTTTTAATACAGTGCCCGGGGCCAACCTGTTAACAAAGGTACACAGGTTGAACTCTAGCCGCTATCCTTGTGAGAGGTTAAAAACCACAGCTGATGGGAATCTGGTACTAGCAGACATTTTTGTGTCTAAACATTGCTTCTCAATAATCGCTTTATTTGTTTTATTTGTTGAAGTGAGACCAACCCTTGTATAAAGCACTATCACATCAAGGAAACAAATGACAACCCGAAGCGGTATTACGTGGCTGAAAAATACGTGTTTGATTCTATCCCTCTCCTCATCAATTATCACCAACACAATGGAGGAGGTGAGTTCTACAGGCCAGGCCTGAGGGGGACTCTCACGGTGGAACTTGGAGAAAGGTGACAAATGCCAGCAGGGTTGCTTCACCTCAGACAGCTGGCTGTAAATAATCCATAAATAATACTAAATATACAAATGGAGGATGCCAAACATTTGATTATATCGCATATTGGCAAATTCTGCTCTTGGGATCATGGTATCTCACCACCCGCCCACCTGTTTTTATGGCTTTCCTCCGGGAGGCTGTGATTGTGATTGGGCTTTTGAGATTTGTTTTTCACAATAAAAGTGGTTTTTGCATTGGATTAAATTTTTCCTAGTGATTTAACTTGCCTCAGTAAAACTCTTAACTACCACCTTTCACTCTTTAATCGACCCAGGACTGGTCACAAGACTCCGGTATCCAGTTTGTTCCTGGAGGGAGAAAGCCCCGGTCACAGCAGGACTGAGATATGGTGAGCAGTACATTCAGGGTTGTTATGTACTTGTACTAACTCACACCCCTAAAGGTCTGGGAAAATTCTAAAGGGACTTCCCATGAACTTAACTATTCCCCGACTTAACATGACTATTAAAGTAGGTACACTGCGTATCTGGAGATCATGTGCACAAATGAACATTTACAATGTCTGTAAGAGAGATGTATATGTACGAGCACATTTATCTAGACCAAATCAGCATCTATTGGCTTTAGGCAAGAGTTCAGCAGTGAAGTGTTCATTAGGCATCTGCTTTGTACAGAGCACTCCCCTATATGGTATAGAAAAAAAGTATTACAAAACAGTGCCTTAGCACCATGTTCCCACCTGTCTTCCAAAACTTCTGTATCATCTAGCTCGTTGGGTATGGATCCATTGCAAGAGCCAGAGCTGGGAGCATTGTGAAGTGATTGTCTGCATACACGTGTTACATTTTTTTCCCAGTGCCTTTAGGCAGGGCATGCATCTATAGGCCCTATGTTCCTTCCTGTCCTATGGAACTGCTTCACTCATCTGCCTGGAACCTGAAGGCATTGGAGTATGCATCCCCTGCTCCAAATTGTGCTGGTTGAGGAGAAGACTGGTGTAATTCTCATTTTGTATCTCCTAGATTGGTGGTTCTCAAAGTCCAGTGTGCATCAAAGTCACTGGAGATCGTATTTAAAATGCTGACTCCCAGTGCCTATCTGACAATTACCAAAGTACAACCCCAAACAGAGGAGTCCTGGCATCTGCATTTTAGACAGGTGCCCTTGGTGATTTTGATGGGGGATAGAAGGTACTACTTTGAGAAACTTTGCCATGGGCTCTGCATCCCTAACCAGCACCACATCTGGCACACAGTAGGTTCTTGGTAATGTTTTATGTTGTGTCTCTGCTTCCAAGAGGTAGAAATTGAGCTGTTTATGGTACTTGACCAAACTTCAGGAAAAGATAATGTCTCTTTAGCTGCTTTACAAAGATAAGGTTGTTTCTGATAGCTATAGACTCCCAATATATCTGTGCTGGATGGGATCTCAGAGATTGTCTTATGAACCCACTCATTTTGTCAGTGTGAAAACCAAAACTCATATCCCTTCTTTTCATTTACTGAACATTTATTGAACACCTACCACATGTCCAATACCATGCCGGCTTGTACTACTGTACCAGCCCTCTGGGAATCCACATCCTTATCCCCTGCCCCCACCCCTGCTCAGGTCCAGCAGAGGGCTGTGTACATAGTAGATGCTCTTGATGAATAAATGAATGAATGATCAGCTCAAATGAAATTTGCTCTATGTGAAAAATGACAATAAAAAAATTTTCAAACAAGTATAGAAAATGGTTGGGACCTTACCAGAGCCCTTTCATTTACTTTCTTTGATATCTTGATAATGTCATCCCCCTTTCTCTTTCCATGTAATCTTTCCACATACATTTTTCATAGTTTTAAATGCATATCCCATGTTATCATCTGGAAAAAAAGATAATATCCATCTCTCTATGATAGTTCTAAGTTCAAGGCTTATACTATTTGCCATCTTTTGGTTATGTTAGCAATAGGCTAACATTCTACATAGGGCTACACAGTCTCCTGGCAGCCCTATACATCACATCTTCTGCTTGCCAACCCTGAGAGCCCTCTCTCTCTCTTCCAGGGAAATGGGTGATCGATCCTTCGGAGCTCACTTTCGTGCAGGAGATTGGCAGCGGGCAGTTTGGGTTGGTACATCTTGGCTACTGGCTGAACAAGGACAAGGTAGCCATCAAAACCATTCAGGAAGGGGCTATGTCAGAAGAGGACTTCATAGAGGAAGCTGAAGTCATGATGTGAGTGGCCTCATGCAAGTATGCAAGGATGTGTTAGGGAGGATATTCTGTGCTGTGTTCTGTAAATGCCATTCTGATGTCATGCTATGCCACTTCCCTGCTGAAATCCAGTGATGACTTCCTGTGACAGGGAGAATAAAATCGAACTCCTCACCATGGTCTACAAGCCTGTCATGGTCTGGCCCTGTCTGATCCCCATTCTCATCTCCTACCCATCTCTCCTCTGGCCTATGATACATTAGCCACACTGGCCTCTGTCAGTCCTCACTCATGACAGCTGACCTCCTGCCGTCCTTCAGGTCTTAATGACATGTTTTTGTTTTGGTGAGGGAATGCATTTTTGGGAGATGGAGTTTAGACCATCTTTCCCCTTGCCTTTTTCCTCCAGGAAACTCTCTCACCCCAAACTGGTCCAGCTCTATGGGGTATGCCTGGAGCAGGCCCCCATCTGCCTGGTGTTTGAGTTCATGGAGCATGGCTGTCTGTCAGATCACCTGCGCAGTCAGCGGGGGCTCTTTGCTGCAGAGACCCTGCTGGGCATGTGCCTGGATGTGTGTGAGGGAATGGCTTACCTGGAAGAGGCATGTGTTATCCACAGAGATCTGGTAAGAGGGTGCCAGGTGAACACCTATAAGTCTAAGGTGAAGGGGTATGTCACACTGAAATGCAGAGCTACCAATATTGGGAATGCATTAATCAATAATAAGTCCCAGGGCATCTCCCTTCCCCTCCCAACTTCTTCCTTCCTCCACCCACTTTGGGCTGTCTTGGGGGCTGTGTTTCATGAGCACTCAGACCTGCTTTGTTTCCAGCCCCACCTCTTTCATCCTCTGCGTCTAAGCCTACATTCTCCCAACATGAAACTAACAGCCTCTCCTTAACTGCTCTGTGCCTTAGTTTCTTCCTGATAAAATGAAAGAAATGGACATGTGCAGTTTTGCTCAGTGTTATCCAAATATCTACCAGAATCACCCTCAGAATCTTGCTCAGGAATATTCATTTAAACGTGTCCCCCTATGATTGAAATTGGGGACTCACTGGAGTCTTTTATGGCTAAGGACTCTTCCAGTGTAACATTCTGTGATACTTATTGAGGACTAGGTTCTTCCCTTATTGAGGAACAGTTTTAGGAAGATTAGCAAACTCGAAACATTCTTATTTCAGGCAAATGGGTGGCAGTTTCTCATGCCATTCCTAATGTTAACATTTCCTACTGCATCAGGTTGCATTAGAGGACATTGTTGGCTAGACAACACCATGGATTTCTAATTAGGATTCTAAGAATGAAGATAAAAGATCAGATTTACTCATCCTGATAAAGGATCTCACACAGCCAACTTTTTGGCAAACGTTCATCAGGCGCTGTTGAAGCTTAATCAACATTTGTAGAGCTCCTCAATACCCTCCTGCAACAGAGCCTAGAAAAGCAAAGGGCTATGATTACAGGAGACTGTAATTGCTGATTACCCACCAACTGTTTTTCGTTCCCTTTGTTTGCATCTTTCCAGGCTGCCCGAAACTGCTTAGTGGGAGAGAACCAAGTCATCAAGGTGTCTGACTTTGGGATGACAAGGTAATGCAGGGATGTGGGGCCCCCAGTGTCTCAGGAATGGGGCACAGGCCCTCAGAGTATTCGAACATATTCTGTCCGCTCTCATCCCAGGTTTGTCCTTGATGATCAATACACCAGTTCCACAGGCACCAAATTCCCCGTGAAGTGGGCCTCCCCAGAAGTCTTCTCCTTCAGTCGCTACAGCAGCAAGTCAGATGTGTGGTCATTTGGTGAGTATCATTCTGGTCCACCCCCATGTGATCTAGAACTGCCAGGCAGCTGTTTTATTTGTGTCAAATTTAAGCAACTACTTGCCTGGAACTCAGGATGCTGAGGGAGTCCCACTGATAGTTTGGGAGTAGTAACAGCTCTGAAAAGTAAGCAGAGGGCCTCATTATTGTATTTGTTCTTGGTGATCTATGAAATGGGGGTAAAAATGAGAGAGGAAACAGGATTCTGGTGACACCTTCTATGAGATTAAAAGCTAGAAGAGTCAGGTGATTAGAATATGCATTCCTTTAGGGGTGGGACCTTATTTTGTCCAACATTATATTCTCACATTTAATCCTCAGTAACTGTTTTATTCATTCATTTGACACTGATTCATTGAGCATCCACTACATGCCAGGGGCTAATCTAGGTGCTTACAATGCAGTGCTGCGTAGGATAGAAAAGATACCTCTTCTTTTGGGGTTAAATTTTAAGGGGAGACATAACAATTACGTAAACAAGCTAATAGTTATGTATATAAGATAGAGTCAGGCAATAATAAGTAAGTGCTATAATTAAACAAAAAAGTAAGGGGATAGAGAGTGACTGGAAGGGTCTGTTTTAAATAGCTTGATCTGGGAAGGCATCTCTGGGCAGGTGACTGTAGAGCAGAGGTCTGGAATGATGAGAGGGAGCCTTCCCCATATGAAGATCCAGGGAACAGTGTCCCTGACAGAGGAACCAGCAAGTGAAAAAGCTTGGTGTGTCCAAAGAAAAGGGTGGTACTGTCTTAGAGGAAAACTAGAGGGCTCTGAAATTGGAAGTCCATAATAATGTAATTCGAATTTCTGATAATCGCAAGTGAGCATTAATGAGAGGCAAAATGAATGGTGGTGTGAAAGGAAGTACTAAATATCCTTGCTGGATTTGTCATGTCACCCTAAGCCACTGTCTGTGTGTACTAAAATATGCACAAAAATATACCAGACAATCTCTTTCATTGGATAACAAGAAGGGTTATATCTTGGACTGGAACGGGTGAAGTTCGATCTTGCCATTATATATGAAGGGAAAGTTTGCCAAGTGTGTTGACCAATAGTAGAGCCAAGGGGAAGCTGACTAATTAAATCTCTTAGGAGAAGAACTAGTTTTAAAGGCTTCAGCATTTTAGAATATCCATTTCCAACAAACAAATGGTTTTTTAATTTTGAGTCCTTTTGAACTGTTCCTTAAAACAGCTTCCCTGTTTGACAGCCTAGCCTTAGCTGTGACTTTGTTGGTCAAATTTAAGTTACAGAAGAAACTTGGGAGAAATAAAATGGCACTAGAGCAATCTCAAAAGATTCTCCCTTCCCCAGGTCATCAAACTAGGAGGGATATAGCTGGAGAGCAGCTGGTCCCCTGCACCAAGCTGGATGTCCCAGAAAGAGGTGTTCGCAGCCATGCCACTTTGACACATTCACCTGCTGACCCTGAATGGGGTTTATTCTGCCAGAGGTTGTCAGCCTGGGAATTTTATGCTGCATCTTATAATTAGAGGATTGAACTAAAGTCCACCCTTGCCTATAGGCTGTGTCATCTCAAGTGTACAAAGAGGAGGTTGACTGGTGGCAGTGAGTAGAAAGGGTGAGAAAGCCAGAGTATCAAGCTTGAGAAACAGAAACCTGGATGGACTGAGAGCTTGATGCCAGCCTCAAGGCCATTGGATTGGCATGCAGTTTAAGGGTTTTGCCCTAATTAGCTGTGCTATTTAAAGCAAGTCCAGTAACTTCTTCGGGCCTCACTCAATTTCTCCTCAATACATCGCAAGGTTTGCATGAAAGCAATTGTTTTCAAACCAGCTTTGAGCAGCAGACTCATTTTTCAAAGACATCTCACTAAAAATCCTAGTATGCTGGGGTGCTAAACAGTCTTAATTACAGTCAGGTTCTGGATTTCCAAAACTCCCAAGGCACCTCTGAAGACCCCTTAGAAATTCTGATCCAGTGGTCTGGACTGAGGCCAAATATCTTTCATTTGAACAACCTTCTGGAGTGATTTTTATTCAGGCATTTTGGGGTCATCCTTTGGAAAACTCTGCCCTAAGGGCCTCTGGAATATGCTTTGAAGACAGTGGGTTAGGTGATCTGCAAGCTCTGTTCCCACTCTGACATTTTATGAAAATATTAACACATTAATCAAAGTTGGGTGTGACATTTTTACTGAGGGCAGAAAAGCAAAAGGGATTAAATCAAAGGTTAAAAATAAACAACCTGATGATGCATTTTTCTTGGTCTACTCAGTATTTTTAAAAATCAAATTGAGTTTGTATTTTGAAACCCTCAATTTATGACATCTTTTTAAAAATCAGAAAATGCGGCAATCCTGAGCCCTCATTCCCATGATGCCAGCCTCAACCCATGAACCCTAGCTGGGTGGAGCTAAATCGCATCTGTTTCCTTAAGACAGAACTTTTGCCCTCAAGTTGTCTGCAGTCCCCTTATGAGGTGCACCTCATCCACTTACAATATGTGTAGACATTTGAGTTTTATGCCCTCTGCAACTTTTAGTAGTAGCATTTGAGTTAAATATAACAAAGGGCTGAGCTTGAAAATTCTTTACCACTAGGAAGATTGGGAAATCTCTGCTCTTTAGAAATAGTACAGACCTAATGAGCCTCAGATGGCTTGCTATTGGACTTCCTGAAGGTAGGAACTTGGATCTTAATGTCAAGGAGTCTGTGGTTCCGAGATGTAGGTTTGTTTGTTTGCTATTTGTAAACTTTATCACTCACTATCTGTGCTGCACTCACCACTTCTTGTAGGTGTGCTGATGTGGGAAGTCTTCAGCGAAGGCAAAATCCCATATGAAAACCGAAGCAACTCGGAGGTGGTGGAAGACATTACTACTGGATTTCGTTTATACAAGCCACGGCTGGCCTCCTCACATCTCTACCAGATCATGAATTATTGCTGGAAAGAGGTCAGTGAAGGAAATGGTTTCCCCCTGCATTATAATCTACAATGTCAGGGTCTGCCCTCTTCCCTACAGAAAGGGACCCTCTTAGGAGGATGGGCAGCAGAGTTGAGTAAAAGATTAACAAGAAAGTGACTTTGAGCATCTATTAACTAAAGAGGCCCCCCAGCCCTAAAAGAGTTGGCAGTGACCTTAAATATTATCTGACTTGCAATATAAGGTCACAAACCATCAACATACTGTGAGAGAGGAAGAAGGGGGAAGGCCTTTGTCAAGATGTCAATTTTCTGAGGAAAAGGTACACCTGTAACATCATAAAACCATTAGGTATACAGGAAATTAGTTCTGTAAGTTGGTGAATAGGAATCCACTTGTGCTGTGAAAATATTAAAATGACTTAAGTTCATTTCATTCGTTCAACAATTCTGAGCGGGTAGCCAATCACTCTGCACGTCTCATGCCTGGGTTGCAGGCTGTGCCTTAAGCAGTATCAGCATGATGAGTCTTAGATGGGTTTTGTTGAAGGGTAACAAGCTAGGACTGAGAAAATATAGGATACTTGGACTTTGTCTCAACTTTACCATTTCTCAGTCATTAATCTTGGACAATTATCTGCATCTCCTTTTTCTTACTGGTAAGAGAATTAAATCATGCTTGATCCGTATGTTCATAGAGCTCTTATAATCAGGCACAAACAAACAATAAAGACATAAAGAAGGGCCAACAAACAAATTCAGTTCACAGGATTATATACTATAATAATTAGGAGAGCTGACATTATGTAGCACTTTTTTTAACGTCTTTCATTGTTTTTTTTTAATTAATAGACATTATTGTTTACAAGTTTAAGATTTATAGAAAAATTGAACAAATAGTACACAGAGTTCCCATATACTCTCCTCCTATTAATGACAAATTGTGTTAGTATGATACATTTGTTATAATAAATCGATACATTATTATTAACTAAAGCCTATAGGTTCATTCTTTGTGTTGTACAGTTGTATAAGTTTTGCAAATGTATAATTTCATGAATCTACCATTAAAATAAAATTACATAGGAAATAACTTCACTACCCTAAAATCCACTGTGCTTCACCTATTTATCCCTTCTTCCTTTCTCAAATCCCTGGCAACTATCAATCTTTTAATTATCCAAGTTTTGCCTTTTCCGGAATGTCATATTGTTGGGATCATGTAGTATGTAGCCTTCTCAGATTGGCTTCTTTCATTTAGCAGTAAGCATTTAAGATTCCCTCATGTCTTTTCATGGCTTCATAGCACATTTCTTTTTATCACTGAATAATTCATTGTCTGGGTGTGCCACCGTTTTTCATCCATTCACCTACTGAAGACTACCTTGATTGCTTCCAGTTTAGGGCAATTATGAATAAACCTTCTATAAATATTTGTGTGCAGGTTTTTGTGTGGACATAAATTTTCAGCTCAATTGGGTAAATATCTAGGCGTGTGATTGCTGGATCATAAGATAGCACTGTCTAGCTTTGTAAGAAACTGCCAAGCGGTCTTCCTTAGCGGTTGTTGTACAGTTTGCACACTCACCAGCAATGAGAGTTCATGTTGCTCCTCCAACATTTGGTGTTATTAGTGTTTTGGATTTTAGCCATTCTAATGAGTATATAGTAGTATCTTCTTGTTTTAATTAGTAATTCCCTAATGACATATGATGTTAAGCATCCTTTAATATGCTTATTTGTCATTTGTGTGCTTTCTTTGATAAGGTGTCTATTTAGATCTGCCCATTTTTTAATTGGGCTCTTTTCTTGCTTTAAGCTTGAAGAGGTATTTATATATTTTGAATATAAGCTTTTTATAAAATATGTGTTTTGAAAATATTTTCTCCCAGCCTATGGCTTTTTTTCATTCTTTTAACAATGTCTTTTACAGAATAGAGGTTTGTAATTTTAACAAAGTTCAACATCAATTTTTTTCTTTCATGAATTGTGCTTTTGTTGTTCTGTCTAAAAGATCATTGCTAAACTCAAGTTTTCTTCTATGTTATCTTCTAGAAGTTTTATAATTTTTGCATTTTACATTTAGGTCTATGATCCATTCTCAGTTAATTGTTGTGAAGGATGTAAAGTCTGTTTCTAGAGTCATTGTATTGCATGTGGATGTCCAATGATGTCCAGCATCATTTGTTAAAAATATTTCCCTTTCTCCATTAAATTGCCTTTGCTCTTTTGTCAAAGATCAGTTGACTGTATCCATGTAGGTCTATTTCTGGGCTGTCAACTCTGTTCCATTGATCTATTTGTCTATTCTTTCACCAATACCACACTGTCTCGACTACTGCAGCTTTAGTTAAGTCTTAAAGTCAGGTAGTGTCAGTCTTCCAACTTTGTTCTTCTTCAGTATTATTTTGGCTACCCTAAGTCTTTGGCCTTTTCATATAAACTTTAGTCAATTTGTCAAAATCTACAAAATAACATGCTGGGATTCTGATTGTGATTGTGTTGAATCTATGGATCCAGTTGAGAAGAAATGACTTCTTAGCAATATGAAGTCTTCCTATTCGTGAACATGGACTATTTCTCCATTTATTTAGATCTTTGATTTCTTTCTTTAGAATTTTATGTTTTTCCTAATATTGATCCTATACATATTTTGTGAGATTTATACCTAAATATTTTATTTTAGGTGTTATTTAGCACTTATTTTATGATGAATTTTTATATATGATTTTATTTAATTGTCACAGCAGTCTTATTAGATACTATTATTGTCCCCATTTCATAGATGATAAAACTGAGGTTCAAAGAGGTTAAGTAATAAGCTCAAGGTCTCACAGGTAATGATGGAAAAGTTGAGATTCAAAAGTAGGCCATGTGATTCCAGAATACCTGCTGTTAACAACTTAGACATCATGCTTCAGATACAATAAGTATGGAAGCATCTTTAATGAACAGCAGAGGGTATTGCTATTAACTCTGGTTTGTTCTGGGTTTAGCTATGACACACAAGTACAAGGAACTCAGAGTTCTTTTCTTCCTTCTCTAGAAACCAGAAGACCGGCCACCTTTCTCCAGACTTTTGAATCAACTGGCTGAAATTGCAGAATCAGGACTTTAGCGGAGACTCAGTGCCAGGCCTCAGACTGCAGAGCCTGAATGGGGAAAGGAAATCCTCCCTCTACAGAGCATTAAAAGCTGCTATCAGCCCAGGACTCCCCAAGGCAATGGCCTGTGGCACTAGTCTCTGAGTGCCATGGAGGCAGCACCACGGCAGAAGCTGGCCCCGGGCCACAGGCAGCAGGCTCTGGCACTGAGCTGGGAGCCAGACCAGAGCAGCAGCGATGTCTCTACCCTTCCTCCAGCCCCTTGTCTTGGGTGCTGCACAGACCTCAATCCGACAGCTTTCAGGCAACATTTCTTGCACTTCTTCTTAGAGAAATGGAGAGACAGGGGAGGACCCTGCAGTGTTATTTTTATTTTTATTTTAAACATGGATCTAAAGTTTGTGGTCAAGGAGCTTTTTATTTGACCCAACAACACAGAACCCTGGATATGGGCGAGAGGAACAGGGGGAAGGGCTGGTGAGTTCATTCCAATCAGAAAGACTCTGCTCTGCTGTGGTGGTGCTGTGGGCCCCTGCCTCCTGCCCCAGAGGACAGTGGAGCAGCTGCGTTCACATTAGAGGCCGGGTGTTCTGAAAAGCACCTTTATGGCGTGTTACTCGCACGGTACCCTGCCACCTCTCTCTTTGAAGGGAGCACGATGGACTGGGGTGAACGGTTCTGATCCCACAGTTGGAGCACTGAGCGTTCTTTATCTGGGCAGAAAGCGGGCAACTGATGATGAGAACCAGCTGGTACAGAGAAAGGCTTCGGGTGGTGATCATTCCGATGTTTTTTTTTGAGCACCACGCCAGGAAGATCTCCATGCCTCCCCTTCTGCACAGCTCGCTTCTGTAGGTGTCCTAGGAGGAAATGATGGCTTCAGAACACCGACCCTGAGGACTCCATCACCCTTTTTTCTGGCTTCCCGCAATCAGTCCCCTCACTGCACTTTTCACCCTCGTCAACAGAGGGCAGCATTGTGTCAGACAGTGTGGCCCTGCAGAAAAATTGAAGCTTTTTTGGCCCTAGAAATTTGCAACTTTAAGGTTAAGACTTCGAGTCTCCCCACATTCTATTTGAGGAACAGGGTTCTGTTCTTTCTCAAACCATCTGGATGGAAACTGAGTTAGGCACTGAGTGGGGTACTTTCAAGATGTACACAGTTGCCTACTGATGACTGAGCACTTAAATAAGCAAAGTGACTATGTGCTGCACTATCGGCCTTACCTGCAGAATCTCACTTTATTCACCCTGAGTTCACACCAACCCTGTGAGATAGTATTATTGTTCCCATTTTACCAATAATGGAACTGCCCCAAGGGAAGTATAGAGACAGATTCTATCCTACATCTGACTCCAGGGCATGGTTTCTTTATTCCCATTCAACACCGTCTCCTATTGGGGATGAAAGGGATTGCAGAGAAGATAAATGGGAAAGGGAGGTAAGCAGGAGGCAGAAAGCCAATAAAGAAGTCTACATAGCACCACCAGCAGGTGATGTTTCCCCCTCATAGGCCGCTCTGGCTGGCGGCATAGCCCTCCAACTTGGACTAGGATTTTCCCTTTCCTCCTGTATATCCTCACCTTTTCAGAGTAATCACTTTGGAGTTACTCAGTTAATTAACCCTTTGATTCACCCACTTCACCAGAGTCATGTTGCCCAAAGCCATTTATAGATGAGCTTCAAAGCAGCTGTAAAAAGATTCTCCTGCAGGAGCGTAAACACTTCTTTTAATTATCGTTCCAACTGGAGCCAGCTGCCGTCTTCTTGGACACTTTTTGGGGAACGGTATTCCCTGATGTAACAGAGATTTAATGTTCCTACAGTGCTCAGATAAAACCCTTAGAGATTATTGGATAGTGTTGTAAATTAGCTCTAAATCTTACGATATTTTAACCAGCTGGAGAGTCAGATGAGTAACTTTTAACTGTAATTATTGTGACACTGGGATCCTCAAGATAAAAGTCTATCACTTAGAAGATAAGCTTACTCAACTTATCCTAATTCACCCCTATTTACTTTTTGGCATTTTGTACATTGTCTTTTGGAACCCTTAATTACAGATGATTTCTGGAACATCCAGCCGAGAAGGAAAACATTGGAATTGACTGATTTCTATGGTCTAGTTAGAAAATTCCCTCTTGCATAGTATTATTTTGTTCTCAATCAGATTCACTGGGGCCTTAACTGAATATTTCAATAATTCACCTCCCACTGTTTTATCCTGTGAAATGGGCTTCCTGCCTTTTTTTTCCTCTCAAATTTTAAAAATAGTGCCATGTGTTCACAGGGAATCCCCTTATACAAGGCTTTGGTTCTAGATGCATTTTATTATCTTGCATTTTGTACTTTTTGAAACTATGTATTTATATTTAGATAGATTGAATATTTATTAGTGTACAGTCATTGCTACGGTTCACAATAAAAAAGTTACAGATACCTCCTGCTCTTTGTAAAACACACATTGTTAAAGGTCGGATCTAGCAAATAAACCCGTAGGTTTTAGTAAACATGGGTGCAGGGCTTGGGTTCCATATGATACTACCCAAATGTCAAACAACCAAAAATTTTCCTTAAATAAAAGTAGTTACATGGGCTCATGTTCTACAGACAAATAAATACTATATATCCTTCAACATTTGTTCAACAAGTAAATATCCATTGCTTTCTGTGTTCCTGTGATACACTGTGCTCAGTGCTGCCAAAACAAAGGTGAAAAAGACAGTCTTACTTTTAAGAAACTCCAAGTATGGTGGGGAAGACAGACATATGAACAAGTAAAATTGTAATACAGCAATTGGAGCAACAACGGAAATATGGTCAAAGAAGAGAAGAGTTCAGAAAAAGTGATGCAGTCTTTGGGGGAAGGGTGATATCAGGGGAAAGTTCCTAGAATCTTGCTACTCAAAGTGGGGGCCCTGGGCAAGTAAGAGTAGCATGACCAACTTGTAAGAAATGCAAGTTCTTCAGCATCATCCTGTGATCCACTCAACAAGAATGTGCATTTTAACAAGATCCACTGGTAATCATAAGCATATTAACGCTTGGAAAGCACTGTTACAGAGGACATAATGTCTGACTCAGTTTTAAAGATGAATTATGACCATTTTTAGGCAAGGAAGTGGCCAGAAATAAGAGAAATACTTCCCAGGTGGAGGAATGGAGGAAACAATGCATTAGGGAAGCTATTATCAGCTTACTGTCACTGGAACATAGGTGGTGTGTGTGTGTGTGTGTGTGTGTGTGTGTGTGTGTGTGGTCTCAGCAAGGGTGAGGATGACGTAAGAGATAAGCAAATTGAAACAGGTTGTAAATCTAGGGAAAGACCATATTTTAAAAGACAAAACATTGGAACTCAACATGTAGATAGAAAAGATGTCATTGAATGATATTGTACATAAAAAACCCCTAAAGAATCCACTCCAAAACTACTAGAACTAATATCTGAATTCAGCAACATTGCAGGATACAAAATTAATACACAGAAATCTATTGCATTCCTATACAGTAATGATGAATTAGCAGAAAAAGAAATCAGGAAAACAGTTCCATTCACAATTGCATCAAAAAGAATAAAATACCTAACAATAAAGCTAACCAAGGAAGTGAAAGACCTGTACTCTGAAAACTACAAGACACTCTTGAGGGAAATTAAAGAGGACACTAATAAATGGAAATATATCCCATGCTCTTGGGTAGGAAGAATTAATACTGTCAAAATAGCTATCCTGCCTAACACAATCTACAGATTCAGTGCAATCCCTATCAAAATACTGACAGCGTTCTTCAAGGAATTGGAACAAATACTTCTAAAATTCATATGGAACCACAAAAAACCCCAAATAGCCAAAGCAATCGTGAGAAGGAAGAATAAAGCTGGGGGGATTATGCTCCCCGACTTCAAGCTCTACTATAAAGCCACAGTAATCAAGACAATTTGGTACTGGCACAAGAACAGACCCATAGACCAATGGAACAGAATAGAGAGCCCAGATATAGACCCACACATATATGGCCTATTAATATATGATAAAGGAGCCATGGACATACAATGTGGAAATGACAGCCTCTTCAACAGCTGGTGTTAGCAAAACTGGACAGCTACATGTAAGAGAATGAAACTGGATTATTGTCTAACTCTATACATAAAAGTAAACTCAAAATGGATCAAAGACTTGAATGTAAGTCATGATAACATAAAACTCTAAGAAGAAAACATAGGAAAAACTCTCTTGAATATAAAAATGAGCAACTCTTTCATGAATATATCTCCCCAGGCAAGGTAAACAAAAGCAAAAATGAACAAGTGGGACTATCAAACTAAAAAGCTTCTGTAGAGCAAAGGGCACCATCAGCAGAACAAAAAGGCATCCTACAACAGAGACCATAATGGGGTATATGGGGGGGACTTGGTGATGGGCAAAGTCTAATACACATAATGTTCCTCATGTAATTGTAGATTAATGATACCAAAATAAAAACAAATTAAAAATTAAAAAAAGATATTAAAAAAAGGCATCCTACAGTATTGGTGAATATATTCATAAATGACATATCCAATAAGGGGTTGACATCCAAAATATATAAAGAGCTCACATGCCTCAATAACCAAAAAGCAAATAACCCAATTAAAAAATGGGCAGAGGATCTGAACAGACACTTCTCCAAAGAAGAAATTCAGATGGCCAACAGGCACATGAAAAGATGCTCCACATCACTAATCTTCAGGGAAATGCAAATTAAAACCACAATGAGATATCACCTCACACCAGTAAGGATAGCCAACATCGAAAAGATAGGCAACAACAAATGCCTGTGGCGAGGAGGCAAAGTAAGGGGAACCCTCCTACACTGCTGGTGGGAATGTAAATTAGTCCTTCAACCATTATGGAAAGCAGTATGGAGGTTCCTCAAAAAACTCAAAATAGAAATACCATTTGACCCAGGAATTCCACTCCTAGGAATTTACCCTAAGAAAACAGGATCCCAGATTCAAAAAGACACATGCTCCTGTATGTTTATCACAGCACTATTTACAATAGCCAAGATATGGAAGCAACCTAAGTGTCCTTCAGTAGATGAATGGATAAAGAAGAGGTACATATACACAGTGGAATATTATTCAGCCATAAGAAGAAAACAAATCCTACCATTTGCAACAACATGGATGGAACTAAAGGGTTTTATGCTCAGTGAAATAAGCCAGGCAGAGAAAGGCAAGTACCAAATGATTTCACTCATCTGTGGTGTATAACAACAAAGGAAAAACTGAAGGAACAAAACAACAGCAGACTCATAGAACCCAAGAATGGACTAGAGGTTACCAAAGGGAAAGGGACCAGGGGCGATGGGTCAGAAGGGAGAGATAAGGGGAATAAGGAAGGGGTATAATGATTAGAACACATAATGGGGAACACAGGGAAGGCAGTATAGCACAGAGAAGATAAGTAGGGACTCTATAGCATCTTACTATGCTATTGGAGAGTAACTGTATGGGGTATGTGGTAGGGACTTGATAATAGGGGGGAATCTAGTAACCACAATGTTGCTCATGTGAAACCTTAGCATAAGATTGTATATCAGTGATACAATGATACCTTAATAAAAAAAAACAAAAGAAAAAAACCATGGGATCTGGTAGTGAAAAAAAAAGGAAAGGTGTCATTGAGCAATGAGAAAAGATCGTATTTGCTTTTAAAAATATTTCTGGCAGCAGAGTGGGGAGTGCATTTGAGAGAGGTGAAGCTAGTGGAAGAGAAACCAATTTGGAGATTATTTTTGTCTTGTTCCTAGTACCAGATCCCATCCACTGTCATCTGCTATGTGGGTGACTTGTGGAAATTGTGATTTAGAGTACTTCAGTCACAGTTGGACAGCAATGAATAGCTGTTTCCTTCCTTCTTTGAATACTGGTGAAATAAAAACTGGATTATTGTAGTTTTGGTATGTTGAGCTCTCCCTCTGCCTTTCAGTTCACCAAATGCCCACATCCACTGCAGGAGCCAGTTTGTGCACCAGAGAAGCCTTAGGCATTGGTGAGAAAGCCTGTGGCTTCCACACAGTTCTTTGTGGGAATCACCTCTGCGCTTGACTCCCACCAACAAATGATTCAGATGGGAAACTTCTAAAGCAGATCTGCTTCTTGGAGCATTTATCCTGCAGATGCTACCCTCCCTCGAATCACACAAAGCCACCATTCTGAAGGAAAAGAACATACCCCTGTCAGCAAGATGGGTGGTTGTGTGTATCAGTATGTGCAGAAGAAGCTGCAGGTACCCCAGGAAGCCTCAGGAAGGCTATCTGATCAGAGAGAGAGGGTTGAGGTTGAAGCCGCATTCCCATAGAAAGCACATGTGTTTATTTAAAGTAAACAGTTGACCCTTGAACAACATGGATTTGAACTGCATGGGTCCACTTGTACATGGACTTTTTTCAATAAATAAATCAGAAAAGTTTTTGGAGAATTGAAACAATTTGAAAAAAAAAACATTTACTTTTCTCTAGTTTATTTAATCGTATGAATACAGTATATAATATATGTAACATATGAATGTAACATACAAAATACCTGTTAACCGACTGTTTTCTGTGAGGCTTCCTGTCAACAGCAGGCTATCAGTAGTTAAATCAGTCCCCCAATCCCCTGTTGTTCAAACGTCAGCTGTGTATTTATTTGCAGTGGCCTTGAGGGAGGTGCTGGACATTTGGTATACCAATGCCCCCTTCCCAAAGCCACCCCTTGGTGGCAGCACTGTGTGCATGTGTGTGTGTGTGTGTGTGTGCGCACACACACGCGCGCACTCATGTTCAATAACTGAGAATCTCCCCAAATCGTGATGTGTAGTTAGCTTGTGGGATTCAGAATCATACAGACATAGTTAGAAGGGGTGTTAGAGACCATTTATCTATTTCATACATAGTCACTATTCACCCACTATTGCTTGGCACTCTCTCAGGTGCATGAAATATCTTATCAGTTAGGGACCAAACATGTCACACTCAAATCAAGATAATTCAAGGAGGGCTTATTTACAAAAGGATCATTTAAAACAGTGTTGGTCAGGTTTAAAAGTGGTTCTGAGGAAAATAACAACCAAGGAGTAGTTGCCACTCCTAGGCCTGAAGAGATGAGGAGGGGACGTGGTCCCTTGAGTGCAGGAGCTGAGAGTCAATGGGGAAGGTTGTCTTGAAAGGAGAGGACATTAAGCGAAGGACGAGAGGAAGCCCAAGGCAGCATCACAAGAGGAAGCAGAGGAATAAATGTGTCGACTCCACTCTTCACCCCACCCCCACCCCCATCAAGGGCTGGCCCTTCCAGTTGGCCAAACCCAGCTGGAAGCCAGAGGGTAAGGAGATGCTCATAGAGTCGTCCACTGAGGTCAGTGCCCAAGGGAGACGGCTGGGTGAAAGGGCAGAACAGGTCTGGGAGAGCTAGAGAA